TTCCCCCTACCAAGCCAGAAGGTTGCCTCTGAGCGCCTCTCTACCTGCTGCCCCAGATCCTAACCAGAGTGCTCGGAGCTCTGCCTTTGAAGTATGTCATGGTGTAGAGGATTAAAAATAGTCTAAAAAGAGAGAGGAATATAAAGCGGCAAAGGCTCCAGCTGCATGAGAACCTCTCCCCTCCCCTCCCCCCTCCCCCACCCACCCCCCAAAAGAGGAAAGCAGGAGTTGGGTGTGATGTCACTGGGCCTCTATCAAATTCTACCAAAGCTCTGCAGGAGCTGAAGCAGCTTTTGACCAGGGCTTCTGAAGCCCTCCTCAGCGTCTCCTCATCCTCAAGCACTCTGGGTAAAATCATCTCTAAGAAGCATCAAGTTGCGGCGTGCAAACACAAGTGGAATATCAAGTGCATGGGTTCCTCTGGGTCCACTGCCCAGCTCTCTGCCTTTGAAACACAGCTCTGGACCTGGCTTCCCGTGTGAGAACCCATTTTACAGTGGGCACAGAACCGTGCACCAGCCATGCCGTCAGCCCTGTGGTAAGAACGGACGGGAGCTTTACCTACAGTAAGCACTCCATGTGCATCTTGTTGGGAGAACTCCTTCCCTGGGGCAGATGTAAACAAATGTCTACCCTCTCCTTATGAAGTCCCAAGAACAAACCAAAGGATGACCCCAACAAAGTCTGATTTGGGGAGTCAATGACTTGATGGGCTTACTTATAGGCATGAGTGAGTGGTTGCTCACAGGAGCATGAGTGACCCCAAAGCTGCAAGATGGAGCATTTGGAATGTCAGCCTTCTACAAGAGAATGTCAACAGCCTGTCTTGGGGTCTCCTGAGACTAGTCACAGCCATTCTGATGAAGATGACAGTTGTTAAGCTTGGAGGAAGCACTCTATAACATGTCCCTATAAGTGACTCCCCCTGTCACATGCTGTGAGTTTGGCTCAAAAAAAAAAAAAAAAAAAAAAAAAGAATGAAGGAAGGAAGGGAGGAACAAAGAAAGAAAGAAAGAAAGGAAGGAAGGAAGGAAGGAAGGAAGGAAGGAAGGAAGAAAGAAAGAAAGAAAGAAAGAAAGAAAGAAAGAAAGAAAGAAAGAAAGAAGAAAAAGAAAAAAGTCCCCACTATCCTACAGGAAGTTCTCCAAGTTGCCATGGTACTGACAGGAAGTCTTCAACTCATGCCAATGCTGGACATAAGCTCACTACTTTTGTCTCCCCAGGAAGGCTAGATACCTCACACACAGGATCTGCTGCCCTGGATCCCTGAATGTACACCTTGCTTTGGAAGAAAGGTGACCCCATATTCCATAGGTGTTAGCATGACATCAAAGCCTCACCCAGAACTACTTCTAGACAAAATCTGATGTGTAGCAGTGAGAAGAAGGCACGTGTGGCTAGCATGTACTTCAGATATGAGGCCTAGGACAACTTGGTGGGTCATGTCGAGGATGGAGTAAAATGTCTTGGCAAAAACATTTATCTAACAATGGTCATGACTGGCACCTAAATTGTATATACTTAACACATAGATTTCACTCTTCCCCACTGCCCCTCATGCACACACCTTTTCTCTTGAATTTCACTGTTTCTCCATTCCTCAACTTTACTCTTTTACCTGAATATATGTAAATATGTTTGGCCTTCTGGGTGCCTTCATCTTCCCTACTCAGTCATGGGTACCATCGAAATGAAAGAGTGTAGCTACATGCCAATAAAACTTTATTGATAAAACAAGCAGTGGGCCAAATGTCACCTATGGCTGAAGTCTTGGAATGCCTACTTAGCTAGGAGAAAATTAATCAGAGAGAAGCAAACATACCAACAGGGAGGAAAAACTGTCAGACTCTCCAAAGGCGGCTTCTGCTTCCTTCTATGACAGACATAATCTACCAGTTTTTTTTTTTTTTTTTAAGACACCAAGAGAAGTGAAAGGAGGTTTCTATGGGAACGGGAGTTTACTTTTAATGGCTCAGCCACCATAAAGACAATCGCTTTATTTTTCTCCTTCCCTTCAGACACAGGGTAGGCGTAACCTATGACCTGTTGGGCAGGATTTTGCCCAGGGCTCTTCTGTTCCAATAAAATATGAAATGCCACAGTGTTCTGCAGGCCAGAAGGGTACTTCATAAGAGCCAGGCTGCTTGGGGAAGAGGCACTTCCCTAAAATGGCTAATCTAGTCCCATGTTCTGCCTTGCCCAGGAGGCTATGGTGCCAGGGCAGCTTGGCTGCTCTGAGGGAGGTTAGGCCCATTGAGTGGCTGCCACCTTCCTGTGTTCAACCCACCTCAGAGGTCAGCTGCCAACTTCCCGATGGAGGGCTTGCCTCTACCTATACACACCCCATTTTCAAGATGGGTTTCTAGTTCACCTGGCCCCTGAACCCTCTTGCTCCTGGGTACACACATGTGGACAGGAGCCTCTGTTTGCTTAAATCATGGGCTGGCCACTAGACCTCCCGGCCTCATCAGTGGGGGATAAACCAAACCGAGAATGCCCACCCTTTACTCCTGAGTGACTTTTCTGTAGAAAGCCCGTGACCTGCAGTCTTTCCTGCATGGTCCCCCCTTGGAGGTGGGGGATGGAATGAGTCTCTGGCACTTGAATGTGAAGGAATCCAGGACTGCAGCCAGCAGAGCCCAGCGGAGCCCAGAGCCCCACGTGGGCAGCCCACGCCCCTTGTGCCCAGGGCTAGAACGCAAATGGCTTCAGGCAGATAAACAATGCCTAGGCCCAGCCTCTCTGGACACCACCTTCCAGGAGTACCCCAGAGCTCCCAGTGAGCCAACTCTTAACTTTGCCAATGAGAAAAACGAAGAAATCGCAGGCAAACGAGATTGCCCCCTGGATCCCACAGTAAGTTAGCAACAATATCAGAACCTAGGCTCTGACCATGAGCCTCCCGGGCATGGCTGTGGCTTCCCTAACTCTACACACACACACACACACACACACACACATACAAAAAAAAAAAAAAAAAAAAAAAAAAACATCCCAAGGAAAAGCTATCCCAGACCATGACCTTTCACCTGCAAACCAGAGATGACTCAGAGCCTGGGATCTGACTGCTGTAGAACCCGAAGAGAACATCCACACCATGATTCACACCTGGGAAACATGCACATAGCCCCAGTGACCTAGCAAGGCAGCTCCCTAGGGACATAAAACTCCACATCTGATTTTCTCCTGTTTTTTTTTTGTTTTTTGTCTTTTGTTTTTTTAATGGACTCCTCCAGGGTGCGAACTGCTGAGAGCCAGGGGAGAAGAGCAGAAAGGCCCTTTCCTGGCCCCTTCCCTCTCTGGCCTGGTCCCATAGCACAGAATGTCTGGAAGATGAGCAGAGCGGAGAACAGGCTCTGGGGAGGAAGGAAGGAACTAGGGGTGCGGAGGCTGGTGTGGCACCCCCAGCAGACCACAGATGGCCTCAAATACCAGCCCATGCCAACCCAGCCCGTTTCTCATCGGGCATCCATAGACCATGATACTACTGCTAGTCCAGGGATGGACCAGGTAGCTACCCAGGTTGTGGGATGCAGTCCTCCATGGAGAGCATGACCACTATCATCTTAGAGTATCATGGCGACACTTCACAAGACAGCCTTCCCCTTCTGGCACCCCTGCGACGCCAGCCACACACCCCCTTCTCCATGCTCCCGTGCCCCAGTCCCAATCACACATGGTTTCGGGACACGCTAAGTAAAGAGGAGCTGGAGTGGCAATTGAATAGGGGGGACTCCAGCTTTCAGGAGCTGTCACCCATGTGCGAGGACAGCTCCGTCGGGATACAGCTATGCTGGGGTGACCCACAGTCCTGTAAGTAACAGCTCACCCCTTGCTTCTGTGAATGAGCCCAGTTAAGTCACCGGCCCGCCAAGCTCGATTGGGATGGACTTGTTCCTTTGATCTGACGTTAGTGTCCCATGTGGGGTCAAGAGATACTTGTTCGTATCTTCTCAGGAAAAGCCAACACCAGGGTCCCCACTGCTACTACCAGGTCAGGAAGCTCTTGCCTTAGTCCCTGAACTCACAGGAGCGGTTAGTAAGGACACAGTGGGGTGTCTGGATGGTGGGTGGATTAGAGGAAGCAAAGCTAGGCCAAAGCCTAAAAAAAAGCCATTGAGAAGCCCTACCAAGCTCAGAAGAGCCTGCATCTGGGCCCCGGCCAGTGACAGAGATGGGGATAGCAACATCATAGACAAGCAGGGATCCTTCTGGAACACACAAGCGATGCCCCAGAGAGGACAAAACAGTCCAAGTGAAGTTTATGGTCAGCCTTCAAAGTCCAAATTCAAAGCCCCTCTCGGGGCCCTCTCAGCCACCACCACGAGGTTAGCGACCTCTTACTCATGTGCTTATACCCATGGGATGCCTGCCCTCAGCCTCGCCTGGGTTCAAATACCAGCCAAATTTGCAAGTCCCAGGACCTTGAGGGGGTTCTGACTGAGGGCGGGGATGTCCGTCAGGGAGGCCAGCCAGCGGGGCCCAGGCAGTGGCAGTGATGCTCCCGAGCGCCCCTCCTCAGAGGAGGGATGGGACAGCCTGATGTCTGTCCCATCCACCTTACCGAGCCCCCTCTAAGAGCTATGTCCAAGCCAAGCTGTTCTAGAAAAAATGAGGAGATACATGGTAGCATCAAGACTTTAAGGTTCCAGACAGCAGGAGGGGGGTCACAAAACAGAGATGACCTCCACACAGCCGTATCAGACCACGGAGCCCTGTCTGTGCTGATGCCTGAGATGGTGTCCTACAAGGTTCGATGTGCCTTGTCCACATTGGCCCAGAGAACACAGAAAGCCTGTAGACTGGGGGACACTGACAGGCTCCTAATGAACAGGAGCCCTCCCAAGCCCTGACTCAACTGCCCTTGTCCAGGGTGGGCCACGCAACTGAAGTAAAGAGGAGAGGACAACCAAGCTACATTGTCCTCAGGACGCTGGGGGCCTCCAGGGGACAGTCTGCGGAGAACCAAGGCCTGGAGCAGGCACCTGGCCACCTCTCACCTCCATGCCACCCCTCATGGCTCTCAGGACAAGTGGGATCAGCAGGCCAACGAATGGGACATCCTCCCATGTGTCTGTCATTTTCTCCTCTGTGAAAAGGTCAACAGCCTGAGCCACCCCCACTTCCTCGCAGGGACCCTGGTAAGGTTTCACAGGCAGTCTGTGCCCAGGGATACCACGCTGCCCCCAAACAGCCTTGGTGACAAACACCTCGATGGCCATCGTGTGCTCCTATCTGACAGCCTCATCTGCTAGGTGACTGATGATGGAGGAAAGGCCCCCTGAGGGAGGCTGGATTTTCCACCCTCCCCATCTGGCCTCCCTCCACCCCAGTGTTCCTCTGGGGAAGGTTTTCCATATCACAATCACAGCCTAGATTCTAGAACCTCACTAGGTGGAATGCAAGGACAGAAACCACCGTGCTTCCTAATAAACACTGGGACACATGGGGAGGAAGAGGCAGCTAACCCTGAACTGTTCTCTGAAATGCAGCATCCGGGGCCTAACCTCAGCTGTCTTCATTGCGGACCTCAGAACCACCTCATGCCAGGAACAGAAGACTCCAATCAGGTCTGCTGGACCTGACAGTAGCAGCCGCCTGCACATGGGTACCAGGAGCCTCCATCCCTCTGAGTACAGACCCCAAAGTCCCACTGTCTCCAACTGTGAACCCCTAAGACACCATGGCCACCTTCACAGGGAGCAGTCACAAGCTTATATAGCAAACCCCGTGACAGGCTCTGCCAGCCATCTCCGCCCACAGCCCACCTGAGCTCAGACGAGCAAGGCCCTGAGACAGCGCCCATCTGCTCATCCAGACATATCTGGGCCCCTGGCATCTACCAGCTGGCTCAGCAGATGCTCTGAGATCAATGTAGGATGCCTTCTGGACTTGAACCTTTAGTTGAGCTGCCTAAGAACCACAGGAGCAAAAAGAGATAGGTCTCTTAGACCCCTAATACAGACAGAGAGGCCAGAGAGAAAACAGAAGATTTCTGACCTGAACTCCATTCTCACTTTGTCTTAGCAATGCCAGGCAAAGCAGGCAAGTTCCACTCAGCAACTGCACAGAACCCATGTCCACCCCAAGACATAGCTGGCTTCGTTTGTTTATAACATCCCCGAACTGCAAGCAACCCGAAGGTCCATCAGTTGAATGGAGAAAAGAATGGTGATCTACCCACACAGTGGAATAGTACTCAGTAGTCAACAGGACTGTATCTATAGAAAAGACGGCTCGGATGGGTCTCACTAGTACCAAGTTGATCAAAAAGGGCCAGATCAAGAAGACACATTGCACCATTCAACTTCAACACAGGTTCCAGAGGCAAATTGAACCTTTGGGAATTAAAAACAAAAGATCAGAATAAAGGTTACTTTGGTGGTGGGTGGGTGAGGTTGCTGCCTGGGAAGGAAGATGAGGCAACAACCATGGAGAGATCTGGGTATCAATATATAGGTAGAAATTACCTGAGTGTACCCACATCTAGAAGCATGTTGAGCTTACACTTAAAATTAGTCTACATTATACATGTGTCATACATATTACATTTGAGATATATGACCTGAAGTTTGCCTCTTAATAAACGAAGTCCATCGCTGTTCAAATTATAAACTGACATTTGCCTGAAAGTGTGGTAGGGTGGCAATCTCATGGGACGAGCTGAGACAACCTAATTATAAAGTCCTCCTAAACCCTCCAGACCCATCTCCAATCGTCTCCATGCTGTGTGGTCCCGTCCCTCTGTGTGACTTTGTGGTGCGTTCCTTTACAAGAACCGGTCTCCACACTGGGAGCTGATGCTGCAAGACGAATTAGCTGCGCCACATGGCTTTGGCTAGTACATGCTCATTAAAATGCCTAGTGATTGCCCAAGGCGCACCAACCAGATATGTCTCAGCAGAAGGTATGGCTGCCCATCCCAGACCAGATCCTGATTCTTTTCATCACAGCGGCTCCCAACCTCCTCCTGTGACACAAATCACAGCAGCTAGACAGCAAGAGAGTCCAGAGCAGAATCCCCAGTGCCCACTCCCTGAGGCGCCTGCTGGCTCCTTTTCAGGTCACCTCTGCAGACCTGCACTGTCCTTGCCAAACCTCGGCTGGAGAGGGCCACGTGAGCGCCCAGGAAACATTTTCTCAGGTGTAATGTTTAATCCAGACTCTTCCCCACCCCCAGCAGGGGCTCCCTGCCCTGCTGGCAAAGGGACACTCACAATCCTCCCGCCCTCACCTCTCTGTCCACACCTCCCAGCTGGATCCTTGCAATTTCAACCTTGAACTCTCTACACCACCACCCCGAAGCCAGTAGGGGAGGGGGCTAAAACCAGCCGCACCTGTGCACAGGTCCAGGTGGGTGAAGAGGCCGGAAGTGGACTTATGTCTAGTTCTGCAAAGCCCCCACAGGAGAAAGAGAGCTGGAAACACACTTCTACCCACAGAACTGGAGGGCAAAGACCTTTTGGGAGTTGAAGGGGTGGGTTTCTTTAGGTCCTCCCCGATCTCTCTCTCTCTCTCTCTCTCTCTCTCTCTCTCTCTCTCTCTCTCTCTCTCTCTCTCTCTCTCTCTCTCTCTCTCGTCTGTTAGTTTTTGTGTGTGTGTGTGTGTGTTTGCTACGTTTCCACAGCCAATACTTTCTTTTGAAAGATACTTCATATTCACAGGTGACAGAACCACAGAGCCCATGTCTGACACATGGGCCACCAGGAGTTTCTCCAGCTTGTCAAGTGCCTCAGGCAAGGGTTTTGGTCTCAGCTCCTCCCCAGACTGTGGACTGAGTGGGAAGGTCTAATGATCCTCAGTTCACGGGAATCCACAGCAGTGTCCCCTCCACCCAGAGCCCTGGGGAAGGACCATGTCCCTCACTCCAGGTCCCCAGCCTCATAGGTACTTCGGAAAGTACGAGCCAAGTCTAACACCGGCACACACAGTGGCACTTTCTCCTGGCCCTGACCTGGGCCACCGCCCCTGAGAGTCCACGTACAAACTTCTCCGAACTACCAGGAGCGGGAGGAGGGGGGTGAGGGTCCCCTGCTGGGAATGGGGTGCACACGTGCGCGTGCACACACACGCGTACACACACACTCACGCCCACGCACCGCCCCACCCCCTGAGCTCTGTAAGCCTGGCCCAGGCCAGCGACACCCGGCTCCGGGGCGATCGAGGGACGCGGTGGGGCCCACGCTTAGTGGAGGCGGCCCCTCAGGGGAGGCCGGGCCCGCGGTACCTTGCAGGTTCTGCACACGGATGTCGCTGATCTGGCCGATGAGCTCCTCGCGCTGGAACCAGTCCCACTCCTGAGCAGCCATGGAGCGCGCGCGGCTGGCCGGGGTGGCGGGCGGCGGGCGGCGGGCGGCGGGAGC